CGAGGGCGAGGGCGAGAGCGACAGGGCTGCGGAGCGACCGGGAGCAGCAGGAGCGAGCAGACGGAGGGCGGGCCAGCCTGGGGGGGGAGAGGACGGACTGTAGAGGCCGAGGCCGCACGACAGGCAACGGGGAGGGGAGACGAGCGCGAGTCCCGGCAGGGCGAACACTGCGGCCTGGCCGCCCGCGGCGGCTCCTCGGTGAACCTCGCGAGCTCCACGCCGTCGGCACGAGAGGGCGGAGGCGCGCCCGACCCGGAGCTCCGCGCAGGGGCCCAGGGGCACGAAGTGGTCTTCGATGGCCAGGTGGAGCAGCGCGCGGCTGGCGTCCCAGGCGCCGCCTGCGCGGCGCCACGCGAGGGCCCTCGCCACGAACTGGCAGAGGGCGCTCGCGGGCGGGTCCTGAGCTCCGCGGCGCGCCGGCTGCCAAAACTTCGCGCCGCCCGCGGCTCGACCGCGCGAGCTGCCCCGAGCGGCCTGGGCCCAGAGCCTGTTTGGACCTCCTGCCACCTGGCCGCGCTCATGATCTCGCACTGCGGGACTGCAACCAGGCACGCGGCCTGGACGGCACGGATCGCGGAGGCCCCAGAAGTCGGCATTCGGTGCAGACAAGCCACGCCAACGACGGACCCCTGGGCGGCGCACGTGCCGACGCCTTGGGCCCGGAGCCCTCCGCAGCAGAACCTGCGAGGCCAGGGTGGCAAGCGGCGGCGGGCAGGGAGCAACACGTGGCGAACGCCCCGGGGTCTCCCGGGGGCGCTGCCCGTCGAGGAGCTCAGCCACATGCACCGGCCAGCTGCCCGGGGATGTGCCATCCAATACTGCCATGCGAATGGCACCTCGCAAGAGGGAGCCAACCAGCTTGCAGAAGATTCGCCAGGGGGAGAGCAAGCCTACGCAGCATCGTGCGCAGAAGGCGCTGCGCTCGCTTCTCGGGCCCGTAGACTCCAACACCACCGTGCCGAAGGCGCCTCCCACCAGGAGGCCGCCGAACCGCCCGTCATGGGTTGCAATACGCTGGGGAGGCACCAGAATGCCAGGAAGTTGTTGTCTGCGTCTTGTGGGACGGCGGCTACTTTCATTTTGTTTCAGTTGTCAGAGCCCGTGACAGGAGCAGTAACAGACGAGGTGACGACGTTGACGAGGACAGGGTCGCCACAACCGAAGTGCCCGATCACCAAGGAAGGTGTGAAAACACGTGATGGTCAAGGATTGCCTCAGGGAGCTCAAGACGACAAAGAGTAGAGTGCTCCCAACAGCCCTACCACAGTTTTGAGATTGACTGGTCCCAAGGGGGACACGTGATCCGATAGCTTGGCACAGCTCTTGCCACAACGCTCGGCCACATGGCCGATTCTAGAAGGCAGAGGGCGGCGGTGATTCACCGTAGGCATCTTCGATAACTTCCTCGCCGCACTACCAGACTTGTCGGTAGTGCGAGCCTGGCGTTTCGCCGTAAGCTTCCTTAATATGTATGGACCAAACACTTGAACGTTCAGTAGCAACACGGGTCAAAATCGGGCCGGCTTCAAAATCCGCCCCTCGCCTTGGCGCCCAGCACATCCGTCTTCAAAGCCTGTATCCGGTTAACGAATGGCTCGTTTCCAGAATGTAGGACTCGCCTTAGCGCCCAGCTTGTGCATTTTCACAGACTGCGTCACCTACACGCATGGAGTGCTGATCATTGCAAAACAAAGCTATCGCCTGAGACGCTCTCTCACTTGATGGCCCGAAGCTCGAAAAAGACCAACAGCCACACTGATGGAGGACGCTAATTTCCAAGATGAGGCTCTCGCTTGAAACGATGTTGAGCAGCATGGCCCACACAATAGCAATGTGTAAAAATGTTGTATGTGAGGAGGGCGGGTCATGCTCAAGATTTGACTCCCGATTAACACTTTCTTGAGCTCTATGCTGCTACATCTTGCCACTTCTGAAATTTGAGAATGGGGCGGTTCATTTTCAGAGCAGGCGACACGCTATGTCTGGCAAGCAGATAGCGTGTCGCTCCGCTTCGAGGGGCGGGGGGGGTTGAAACAGCCTCGGGACGCTGACGCCTGGGGATCAGGTCGTGGTTAGCATGTCGCGCCGAGGCGTGGTTGGCAAGAACCGGCGGCGCGACAAGCTAACGATCAGTCCCCGACCAGGAGTGTCGTTGATGCCCATTGTTAGGTCGGGCATGTCCTCCTACAGGCGGATCTTTGACGAACAAATAAAAGATACCCAAAAAAGTACTCCACAAATATTCAAAAATAGTCACAACAAAAAAGTTCCACGACTATTTTTTACTGTTTTTGAATATTCCTCATGTAGAGAGACAGGCACGACGTGAGCCTACTGGGTGCCCACAGGTCCTCGTATTCCTCGCCCTCGGCGTGCAGACGACCGTGACAATGCCAGCGCCGAAGACGACGGCGCCGGCGACGACGACGACGACGACGACGACGACCGAACGACAAAAACGACAAGGACATGGACAACGACGAGGACGGAGACGAAGACTGGCGACGCGCACCGTAATCTGAGCATTTTCTTGCGGGGGAGGGCTGCGGGTGAAGTCCATATGGGCTTTCGCACCTCGAAAATCAATCCGTCTTGTAATTCACCTTTAGCAGATTCAAGACTCGAGAATCAATCGAAACGGCATTTCAGATTTCACCCTTTACCCTCCACCCAAAGAAAATGGTCGGGTAATGGGTTGGGGGGAGGGGGGCGTCCCTTTGAGACGGCAATGCGCTCATTCGAACGGATAAGAGGATTCTTACTAGAACGCAGAGCGGCTCGAGAATGAGCAAAGCCTTCTCGCAAGGCCCCCCACCCTCGCCCAAGCCACGTGGTGCCAGCCGCCAGGACAACAATCACGACAACGGCGGCGGCAACGACGGCGGCGGCGGCGACGGCGCCAGCGCCAGCGACGGCGCCAGCGCCGGCGACGACGACGACGACGACGACAGAACGACAGGAACGACAAGGACATGGACAACGACGAGGACGGAGACGAAGACTGGCGACGCGCACCGTAATCTGAGCATTTTCTTGCGGGGGAGGGCTGCGGGTGAAGTCCATGTGGGCTTTTGCACCTCGAAAATCAATCCGTCTTGTAATTCACCTTTAGCAGATTCAAGACTCGAGAATCAATCGAAACTGCATTTCAGATTACACCCTTTGCCCTCCACCCAAAGAAAATGGTCGGGTAATGGGTTGGGGGGAGGGGGGCGTCCCTTTGAGACGGCAATGCGCTCATTCGAACGGATAAGAGGATTCTTACTAGAACGCAGAGCGGCTCGAGAATGAGCAAAGCCTTCTCGCAAGGCCCCCCACCCTCGCCCAAGCCACGTGGTGCCAGCCGCCAGGACAACAATCACGACAACGGCGGCGGCAACGACGGCGGCGGCGGCGACGGCGCCAGCGCCAACGACGGCGCCAGTGCCGGCGACGACGACGACGACGACGACAGAACGACAGGAACGACAAGGACATGGACAACGACGAGGACGGAGACGAAGACTGGCGACGCGCACCGTAATCTGAGCATTTTCTTGCGGGGGAGGGCTGCGGGTGAAGTCCATATGGGCTTTCGCACCTCGAAAATCAATCCGTCTTGTAATTCACCTTTAGCAGATTCAAGACTCGAGAATCAATCGAAACGGCATTTCAGATTTCACCCTTTACCCTCCACCCAAAGAAAATGGTCGGGTAATGGGTTGGGGGGAGGGGGGCGTCCCTTTGAGACTGCAATGCGCTCATTCGAACGGATAAGAGGATTCTTACTAGAACGCAGAGCGGCTCGAGAATGAGCAAAGCCTTCTCGCAAGGCCCCCCACCCTCGCCCAAGCCACGTGGTGCCAGCCGCCAGGACAACAATCACGACAACGGCGGCGGCAACGACGGCGGCGGCGGCGACGGCGCCAGCGCCAGCGACGGCGCCAGCGCCCGCGACGACGACGACGACGACCGAACGACAGGAACGACAAGGACATGGACAACGACGAGGACGGAGACGAAGACTGGCGACGCGCACCGTAATCTGAGCATTTTCTTGCGGGGGAAGGCTGCGGGTGAAGTCCATATGGGCTTTTGCACCTCGAAAATCAATCCGTCTTGCGATTCACCTTTAGCAGATTCAAGGCTCGAGAATCAATCGAAACGGCATTTCAGATTTCACCCTTTGCCCTCCACCCAAAGAAAGTGGTCGGGTAATGGGTTGGGGGGAGGGGGGCGTCCCTTTGAGACGGCAATGCGCTCATTCGAACGGATAAGAGGATTCTTACTAGAACGCAGAGCGGCTCGAGAATGAGCAAAGCCTTCTCGCAAGGCCCCCCACCCTCGCCCAAGCCACGTGGTGCCAGCCGCCAGGACAACAATCACGACAACGGCGGCGGCAACGACGGCGGCGGCGGCGACGGCGCCAGCGCCAGCGACGGCGCCAGCGCCGGCGACGACGACGACGACGACGACCGAACGACAGGAACGACAAGGACATGGACAACGACGAGGACGGAGACGAAGACTGGCGACGCGCACCGTAATCTGAGCATTTTCTTGCGGGGGAGGGCTGCGGGTGAAGTCCATATGGGCTTTTGCACCTCGAAAATCAATCCGTCTTGCGATTCACCTTTAGCAGATTCAAGCCTCGAGAATCAATCGAAACGGCATTTCAGATTTCACCCTTTGCCCTCCACCCAAAGAAAATGGTCGGGTAATGGGTTGGGGGGAGGGGGGCGTCCCTTTGAGACGGCAATGCGCTCATTCGAACGGATAAGAGGATTCTTACTCGAACGCAGAGCGGCTCGAGAATGAGCAAAGCCTTCTCGCAAGGCCCCCCACCCTCGCCCAAGCCACGTGGTGCCAGCCGCCAGGACAACAATCACGACAACGGCGGCGGCAACGACGGCGGCGGCGGCGACGGCGCCAGCGCCAACGACGGCGCCAGCGCCGGCGACGACGACGACGACGACGACGACGACGACGACGACGACGACGACGACGACGGGCGCGGCTCGCCAGCAGGGAGCCGTGGATGGACGCGGGCGCCGCGGCCCGGAAGCCCTCGGAGATCTGCTCGGATCGGCACGGCCGCCCCCGCGAGGGGGCGCCCAGTCTGGCAGTGGCGGCGCACACGGGGCCCACTGCCGCCCCGCCGCCTCCGGGGGCGGCAGGGAGGACAGGGAGGGAGGCCAAGCGTCCAGGAAGTGCCCCACCTGCCTCCCTGCCGCCCCCCCCCCTCGGAAGGGGCAGGGGGAGGAAGAGGAGGGAGGCCAAGGCCCAAGAGGCACCGCGCGGTGCACCATTCCCTCGGCGCTCTCGCGCAGCCCCCAGGGAGAACACCTCCTCAGAAAGCGTAGCCAGGCTGGCACAATGATCGGGGGGGGGGGGGGGCGACCAACCTTCCGACGGAGCGTCTCCATCCCCCCCCCCCCGACGCCCCTCAACGCGCGTCCCGAATTCCCCCTCCCCTCCCCACCCGACCCAGGAGCTTGAGCTTCAAAACTGCCATCCGCCCACACCCCCCCCCCGACGGCGCGCGCCCAGCCCCCCCCCCGTCGAACCCAAGGGGGGGCGACCTTTATGCCAACCGGAGTAGAGGGCGGGGGACCGCGCGGGGGGGTAGTGAAGGGGCCCTGGGACACACAAATAAATACACACAAATAAGGGAAACATCCCATATTTTCCTGTATTTTCTGGGTTTTTGTCTTCCCCCCCACTTCCCATATTTTCTCATATTTTCTGGGGAATCGAAGATCAATTGTGTCTGTGTGTGTTTTTTCCCTCCTGAGATAGGTACCCACACCCCCGGCGTCGAGAGGACTACCCGGGCGAGGGGCTCTGCCGCTGCGTGCAAGGCAGGGCGTGGCGCCGCGGGGCAGCGCTGACAGGGGGCTGCGGAGCAGGCACGCTTGGGTCCGTCGTTGCGCGGCGGAGGCAATCCGCTCGCGCGCTCCATCGGCTACACGCAAGAGTGACCCCAGGAACGAGTGACCTTGAGTTCGCGGATGAAGGGGGCGCAAGGTGGACAAGTCTAGGCGCGCAAGCAGCCACTATCGCATCGCGCCAAGCGATGCGGGGGCGGTGAGCCCGCACCAAAGGTCCGACCGGCGAAGGGTTCCTCTTACGCGTAGTCGAACTCTAGTAGCTGGACGAACTGTTCGGCTGCAAGAGAAAAGGACAGGGCAGCGAGCGGCCGCAGAGCAGGAAAGAAGATGCGAAGGCGCCCGCTAGAGGCCGTCGGCGCAGCTCCTGTCGGGCACGGTCCGCGCGAGAGGGGGCGCCAAAATGGGCGGGAAGGACGCACGCGAACACTTCCGCGTGAGGCGGAAATGGAGCTCCCCTGTGGGGCGAGATGCGCGTGAAGGATTGGCCGAGTTGGGTGGGGGGACACATCCAAGCGCTCTCCTGACGCCAGCCTGGACAGCGCTTCCACAGCGGCGGGGCCCACGAGTGCGGCCGCATGGCTGCGGCTCGCCGGAGGCGACCTCTTGGCTTCCCAGAGTGGGGCTCTAGCAAACCCAGCTGGTGGGAGGTGCTGAGGTGAAGAACAAGCAGATATTGAAGCCGACAACGGTCTGGCACGCTAGTAAATTCGTTTACTTCCCGAGGCGCGGCCACCCCAAAGTCGTCCACAGTGGGTCCAAAACCGCAGCCGCGCTCTTCTCCACAACTAGGGCCACTACCACCACGTCAGTTACGACCAGTGCTCCGGTTACGACCAGTTCGGCGACGATCACCACCTGAGCGACCTCCATGACTCCAATGGCCACGACCAGAGGCCGACATTGTTCCCGCTACCACTTACAATATTCACATCTGCCACAACCACAAACATGGGCAGGCTCATCCAGGTTACAGCCTGGACGGGCTGCACATTCCACTGAGGGGATGAAATTCCTGACGTCGGGAGCTTGCCAGGGAGTGTATAACCTGTGCCCGACGATTGTCCTGTAAACGTGGTGGGAAGTGTAAGCAAGCACTGGATTATGATGGAGTTCTGAGGGTCTCCCTGTCTATGGCCAGTCTGGCGCAGAGGTTCCGAATGTGTCTCCCCTTCAGGCGGCCTTCGTTTCCCTTTTCGGTGTGTGTCTATATTTCCCATATCCTACGGATGGGGTTCTTGCTATTACTTTGACCGCGCGGAGGGAACACCTCGCACCCTCAGGTCATCATTCTCTGACTGACTCCCATGTAGACTCACTCATAATCAGACTCAATGATACTCAGATGCACTTGCTCTTAGATTCCTGCTACTCAGGTTTCTCATGCTCGGGATCACTCATATGCAGACTCACTCACACTCCTGGTACTTCCGTGCTCAGACTCACACACACACACGTTGTGAGGAACTCGCTCATAGATTATTGATACTCAGGTTTCTCATGCTCGGGATCACTCATATGCAGACTCACTCACACTCCTGGTACTTCCGCGCTCAGACTCACACACGCGTTGTGAGGATGTCTCAGGCGAGGCGATGGTTCCAGTACTCCCAAGGGGGGGGCGCCAGGGGGTATATCACAGGCCCGTTCGCGCCCAGATTGGGGAGGATGTCTCAGGCGATTTGCCTGTTTGGGCGCCGAGCATCCTTCTCTTTCGGAGCAGTTTCCGAGGATGTCTCAGGCGAGGCGCTGGTTTCAGCACTCCCAAGGGGGGGCGCCAGGGGCTACATCACAGGCCCGTTCGCGCCCAGATTGGGGGGTGTTTCAGGCGGTTTGCCTGCTTGGGTGCCCAACATCCTTCTCCTTCGGATCAGTTTCGGAGGATGTCTCAGGCGCGGCGCTGGTTTCAGCACTCCCAAGGGGGGACGCCAGGGGGTACAGTCGGACTTGAGTGGAGAGGACACGCGAGAGGACAAGAGACCCCTTCCGACGGGCACACTGCCACAGGAATGCAGAAGGCATGGGTCGCGAGACACAGGACACAAGGGTACCCTTGACTTGGCAGGGTCGACCTACTAATCCGGGCCGACTGTATTGCACGGGCCCGTTCGCGCCCAGATTGGGGGGATGTCCTGGGCGGTTTGCCTGTTTGTGTGTCCAACATCCTTCTCTTTCGGAGTAGTTTCCGAGGATGTCTCAGGCGAGGCGCTGGCTTCAGTACTCCGGGGTATATCACAGGCCCGTTCGCGCCCAGATTGGGGGGATGTCTCAGGCGGTTTGCCTGTTTGGGTGCCCAACATCCTTCTCTTTCGGAGCAGTTTCCGAGGATGTCTCAGGCGAGGCGCTGGTTGCAGTACTCCCAGGGGGGGGGGGGGCGCCAGGGGGTATATCACAGGCCCGTTCGCGCCCAGATTGGGGGGGATGTCTCAAGCGGGTTGCCTGTTTGGGTGCCCAACATCCTTCTCCTCAGGCCCGGTCGCGCCGAGGTTGGGGGGGTCTCAGGCGGTTTGCCTGCTTGGGTTCTAAACATCCTTCTCTTTCGGAGCAGTTTCCGAGGATGTCTCAGGCGAGGCGCTGGTTTCAGCACTCCCGAGGGTGGACGCCAGGGGGTATTGCACGGGCCCGTTCGCGCCCAGATTGGAGGGATGTCTCAGGCGGTTTGCCTGTTCGAGTGCCCAACATCCTAGGATGTTTCAGGCGAGGTGCTAGTTTCAGCACTCCCAAGGGGGGGACGCCAGGGGGTATTGCACGGGCCCGTTCTCGTCTTCACGGATGGATTTTCCTGACAGGTGTTCATAGGGAAAGGAAGAAGAGAAGGAGGACAAGGAGGAGGAAGAGGACGGAAGGAAGAAGCAACTACTTAGAGTCGTCGTAGTCGTCGGCGTCTCCCTGGGCCTCGTTTTCCACGTGGATTCGCTGACACTCGGATATTGAAAAGGACAATGTCTTATACCGAAGTTTGCCATCACCATGAGATGCACACATGGGGATCTCCGCGTCGAGTAAACTATTTCTCTTTCAATCAACCTCTCTCTCTCTCTCTCCATCTCTCCTCGTGCCCCTCCTCCTCCTCCTTCTCCTCCTCCGCGCTCCTTCTCCTCCTCCCCTCTCCTCCTCCTCCTCCTCCTCCTCCTCCTCCTCCCTCCTCCTTCCTCCTCCTGCTCCTCCTCCTCCTCCGTCTCCTTCAACTCCTCCCCCTCCTCCTCATCATCATCTTCCTCCTCCTCCTCCTCCTTCCTCCTCCTCCTCCTCTTCCTCCTCCTCCTCCTCTTCTCCTCCTCCCCTCCCCTCCTCCTCTCCTCCTCCTCCTCCTCCTCCTCCTCCGCCTCCTCCTCCTCCTCCTCCTCCTCCTCCTCATCCGACTCCGACTACGACTTCGATTCTGACTCCTCCTCCTCCTCCTCCTCCTCCTCCTCCTCCTCCTCCTCCTCCTCCTCCTCCTCCGACTCCGACTCCGACTCCGACTCCGACTTCGATTCTGACTCCGACTCCTCCTCCTCCTCCTTCCTCCTCCTTCTCCTCCTCGTGGCCTTCGTTCTCCGCGAGGAGAGAGCTGGCTGGGCAGGGCGGGGGGGGAGCGGCTCTGCGGTAGCCCTGCGGGGATACCTTGGAGAACAGCTGGTGGTGGTGCCTTCGGGGAGGGAGGGGGAGGAGGAGCACAAGGATTAGGTCGGGCATGTCCCCCTACGGACGGATTTTGGGCGAAGAATGAAAAGCACTGGAAAAAAGTCCCCCCCCCCCCAAAAAAAAAACTTGTCGAAAAATCGTCCCCGTACTATTTTTTACTATTTTGGAACATTCCCCCTGTAGAGGGACACGCCCGACTTAACACAAGGAGGCTTCTGCACTAGGAGGAAGAGGAAGCTCCATGTTGGTGCTGCGTTTTCTTGCACCTCTGTGGGCTCCTGGGGTCTCCACAAGAGGACTCCGGGCACCCCGACCCCGGGAGAACACCGCAGGCCTAGGGTCGCTGGCGTCGACGTGGGCAGCGTCGACGTCGCCGTCGACATCATGGTGAACGGAACCATCGTCGTCCTCCCCCTCCTCCTCCTCCCCCTCCTCCTCCCCCTCCTCCTCCCCCTCCTACTCCTCCTCCTCCTCCTCCTCCTACTCCTCCTCCTATTCGTCTTCCTCCTCCTCCTCCTCCTCCTCCTCCTCCTCCTCCTCCTCCTCCTCCTCGAGTTCACCTCCCTCGTCGTTCCCCCGCTCTCGGCCCGAGCCCGAGCGGCACGCCGACAACCCGTGGGGCCCGTGGCGCCCCCCCTCTCCTGTAGAAATACCAGCCATCCTTAACGGCAGCATCATCGGCAGAAACAGCATCAGCCCATCACCAGCCTTGCCAACATCACGACACCGGCTCCCCGCCTTCATTCTCGTCAGCGACAGCAGCAGCATCGTCCTGGTCGTCATGGTTACCATCAAGACCGCCCTGCCTCATCTACCGAGGCCGTGTATTGACAAGCGGGCCAGGCGCTTAGATAAGACGGCTCGAGCCGGGGCGTCCAATGCTGCATGGGGTACTCCAAGCCATACACGACTGAGCGCGCCTCCACACGCTCAGAGCAACAAGAGCATGCGAATGGCAGCGACATCACAAACGCTCCACGCTCGGACTTTGTCGAGCCGCCGCAGCACGGCTCGGCAGCGACCAACGGCCTCCATCTTGGAAGCTCACGGTCGCAAGCCGCGCGTCGAAACACGCGCTGGGAGCGAATGCCCGCGGCGAAACAGAAGAGGGTGCGGAAGCTTCGCGCTGCTGGCCAAGTTTGGGGGTGGGGTGGCCGCCGAGGCGCCTGGGCCGAAAACACACACTGCCACCGCGCGCTTCGCAAATCGCGCGGCCGCGCCGGCGCGTGGCGCCTGGCACGATGCACAGAACACGGCCGGCCGAGGCAGGCGCGCTCCGCGCTGCTGGCGCAGCCGAGCCGGCTCCTTCGCACGAGGATCCGCGCGGCAGCCACACGCTGACCCGCCCGAGACGTGTCGGGGGAGCGGGGGAAGCGCCCGCACGCCTGCCACAGGCAGGCGCGAGGGGGCCTCGGGGAGGGGCCACGGGGAGGCGGCGTCGTAGGCAGGCGTGGCGGAAGAGCGGCGCGGGAGGGCGGTGGGTTGGAGGCGGCCAGGGGGTCTGGGCAGGTTGGGCCCCGAGAGACTCAGTGAGGGGGAGGAGGAGGAGGAGGAGGAGGAGGAGGAGGAGGAGGGAGGAGGAGGAGGAGGAGGAGGAGGAGGAGGAGGAGGAGGAGGAGGAGGAGGAGGAGGAGGAGGAGGAGAGGAGGAGAGGAGGAGGAGGAGGAGGGGAGGGGGGAGGAGGAGGAGGAGGGGGGGGGGGGGGGGGGGCCCAGGATCCGGTTCCGACGGCCCCCCGGGGTCCGAAGGCGGCCCCGGGAGATCGAGGAAGGCGAACAGCCTGCTCGAGCCCGAGCTCGAGCCCCTTCCCCCCCCCCTCTCTTCCTGGCCCGCACCACTGCCGGGCCACCCCCTCAGACCCCCGGGCCGGCTCCAGGACCCAAGCCTTCGCGGCACGGCGCGCGCGCGCTCTCCCTGGGGCGTCCGCGCCAGGACCTGCCCGCGGAGCGCGCGCCTCCCGCGGCGACGTGGGCGCGCCACGGGGGGCGCCGCCTCCTCGCCGAGGCCCCGCGGCAGCAGTGCGATGGGCGCCCCCGCGCCGGGCCACGCGTCGGCGCGCCCGGCGGCTCCCGCGCGCCCCGTGCGGAAGCGCATCGGGTGCGTGGGAGGAAACCAGATCCCAACCAATCACTTCCTCAACATCAACAACAACGACAGCAGCAGCAGCAGCAGCAACAACAACAACACCACAAACAACAACAACAACAACAACAACAACAACAACAACAACAACAACAACAACAACAACAACAACAACAACAATAATCACAACCAACAACAACGACAGCAGCAACAACAACAGCGACAGCAACAACAACTACAGCAGCAGCAAAGACAACAAAGACGACAAAGACAACAACAACAACAACAACAACAACAACAACAACGACAACAACAACAACAACAACAACAACAACAACAACAACAACAACAACAACAACAAAAACTGCAGCAGCAACAACAACAACAACAACAACAGCAGCACCAACAACAACACAGCGGTGCGCCAGCCTGTGGCACGGCGCCTCGGCATGGTAAAAAGTAAAGGAGGAGGAGAAAGAGGAGGAGGAGGAGGACGAGGAAGAGGGGAAGGGTGAGGGAGGGAAAGGACAAACACTGATCTACGACTGCGGGTGCTGCTAATTTGTACACGCTTGAGCCGACTGCAGCTTTGAAAAGCATCAGCATGTATTTCGTCGACTTCTGAAGAAACATCGTAATAATAACCCTGATGATTATTATTACTATAATAACAATAATAATAATAATAATAAGAAGAAGAAGAAGAAGAAGAAGAAGGAGAAGAAGAATAATCATCCGCATCATCATCATCCTCATCATCACCATCATCATCAGCAGCATCATCAACATCATCATCAGCATCATCATAAGCATCGAAATACGACTAACAATAATAAAAAAACACTTTCCCCATTTGCTCCATGGTAGCAGGGCCCCGAGGGCAATGGAGACGCTCTCGATCGCCCGCAAATTATGGTTCTGGCCGCAGGGGGCGACTGAGGACGGCCCGTGGAATCAGATACATGCCTCCAAAGCCGGCACGGGCCGAAAAGTACAGAGTGGGGCACAAAGGCGCGCGTCATCCGCCCTTGCCCAGACTCCGACAATACTCGGGCCTGGACAAGAGGAGGGAGGGCCCCCCTCCACCACCATCATGCAAGCACAGCCACCCACGGCCTCAGATCCAAAGTAGGCTGCATGCAAGCGTGACCCTGGGCAAGAGTGATCTGTGGTGCGTGGCTTTAGAGGGCCGCTGGGGGGTCAAATCAAGCGCGCAGGCATGTGCTGGGGGGACCCCTATGGGCTCGTACCGAAGGTCACTCTGGCAAAGAGTCAACGCTTAGATGTAGCGGACAGGTCCACCACTGTGACAGCCCCTGCAGGCACCCCATCACCACCAGGGATGCCTCCACGAGGGCCAGCTCCACAGCCTGGACGCCTGAGCAAGCCTGCGAGCCGCAAGGCGCGCCCCTGCTGCTGGTACGCGGCTGCACCCCCAGGGCCAGGTCCAGGATTAGCTCCACGACCCAGGCTGGCTCCGCGAGGGGACTTCACGAGTGGCTCCCGTGACAAGTCCCCCTTGCACAGCTGCACAGGCTACCGGGCAAGCCACGCGGCCTCCGCCTCCTGAAAGCGCTCCGCGAGCGTCGGCACGGTTTGCCCCCACGCACCCTCTGGGTAGCGAGCGGCCAGGACCGGCCTGGCACCCGTGGCGAGCAGCGCCAGGGCCAGCGAGGTGAGCTCGACGTCGACCTGGTCTGGCACGAGCCGCCTCACGCACGCCCAGCAAGGCGGCGAATGAATGGCAGGGCAGGTGCGTCAAGACAGCCGGGCAGCGCCGCGGCCGCCAGAGCGAGCTCAGCGAACTCGATGACCAGCAGCGCGGGCGAAACGGGCATCCCCCAGGGCGCGCGCGCCGGGCGGGGCAGGGCGCTCGCCCAGGGGCTCGGTCCGAGCTCGGCCTGGTCTCCGCAGCGCTGCCCTGCTGGCCGCCGGCCTCGCCATGCCTGTCGTGAGACAGCCCTCGCCGCTGCTCGCCGAGCTGGCCCGTCAGCCGCGCAGGCTCGTCCGGCTGCTGCTGAGATTGCGCCACGACCGCGCCGCAGTTGCCGAGGGCGAGGCTCGCCGCGCGGCCCCAGGGGACTGCTCGCCGACACGTCTTGGCGGCTGCAGCGTCGCCCGCTGCTGCTCGACGGGCTCGCCGAGCGGCTGTGCGAGCAACGTGGCGAGCTTTGAGCGACCTCGACGAGCAGCGGCGCAGGCCTCCCCGCGTCCAGCCAAGCGAGGTTCGAGCCTGCAGCTCGGCGAGCGGCTACGTCCGGGGCACCAGCGCGGGGTCGCCCAGCCTCTCCTCGCAGCCCGAAGCAAGCTCGCGCTCGGCGCGGCTGCATCCGCGAGGAGGCCTCCATGCTCCACACGAGCGGCAGAGCGGTCTCCGACCCGCGGAGCGGCGAGCTTCGACCGAAACTGTGAGCTCGGCGAGCACCGCCGCGAGCACCGCGGCAGGCTCGGCGGCCCAGGCGAGAGGCGCGGCGGCCGCCGGGAGGAAGCTCAACAGGCTGCCCCCCCCGCCGAATCACCAGCGAGGCCTCCCCCCCCCGGGTGACACCAGCGAGGCCCTTCGCGCGCCGCCAAATACTGGCCGTGCGACGCGGCGACCTCCCCTCACCCGCAGGGCGCGCTCAGTCCGTGCGCCTGGCGGCAGGTCCACGACCGAGCAGGGGCAGGAACGGTCGAGCAGAGCCGAGGCCACCAGGGCGAGCCTGTCGAGCGTCCCCGCTGCGGGGCGCGGCACAAGGCGCGTTCGGCGCTCAGCTCCGCGAGCCCCGGACGAGCACCACGACCTCCAGGGCGCGCCTGGCGCACCTCCACGTGGGCAGCAGGATGGCCAACGGCGCCATGGCGAGCTCCACGACCGCGCACAGCGAGGCCACTATGACCGACGGACAGGACGAGTCTCTCTGTGAGGAGATCTGTGGCCGACGGGCTGAGGACCCTGAGACGAAACCAGGACTGGGACAAAATCGGACCAGGTTAAATCGGGGATCCCTGAGGTCTGGCGGTTCTGGAGGCTGTATCGGGCGCTGCGGCCGGTCCACAGCGCCCCAGAACGCTCTGAGAGCGTCCTGGAACACTCTGGAAAAATTACGGTCGGGAACTTTTGCTTAGAATGTCGCGGCGGCGGCCCTGGCGACACGCTATGCCTTGCGAGCGGATAGCGTATCGGAGGCTGGAAAAGGCTCGGGACGTGGACGCTTGGGGGCTGGGAAGTGGATAGCGTGTCGAGTAGGAGCGTGGTGGGCCAGAACCGGCGGAGCGACACGCTATCCGAAAGTTCCCGACCGTGCTCGCGCAGCCCCTCCCCCTCCCGCCGCGGGGCGTCCCCGCTCCGCCGATCCCCGCGTGAGTCACTGCTGCCCCGCCGCGGGCTGCTGCCGGAAGGCCCCCAGCCGTCGTCGTCGTCGTCGTCGACGGCGGAGACACGCCCCTCTGCTGCAGGCGACGCGCTGGGCCCCCAACCGCGGCCCCTATCCGCCAGGGGTGCGCTCCTGCGAACGACGGGCCAGGGACGGTCAGCGGACGTGGCTGTCCTGGCGATATGGATCCTGGTGTCCAGCCAGCTGATGGCGTTGGCCATTGAATCTCGTCGGTCTGCTGAGGTTCCCCTGGCGGCGCAAGCCTGGCTCTCCTTGTCCTTGGCGGGGTGGACACGCGGCACTGCCCCTGTTGATGCTCACCCGGTTGCGACACTAGCACTGCGCGTAATCCAACTTCTCGCAGCACCTCGTCGGACTGTGTCTGGGTCCTGTGTCTTTCCAACCCCCAGTGGATGTTCAAGTGGCTGGACGGTCGAGAATACTGCAATCGCTGCGGCTGTGAAGTCCTCGTCGTCTGCACCGGTCGGCACGTTGAGGGCCTGGGCGATGGCGTCGACCATCTCGACAATGTCAAGGGGCTGCTGGGCGAAAAGAGCCGCATGTCGGGCGCACTGGAACTCCTCTGTGCCTTCCTCCGCCCTCCTCTCGCGCATCTCCTTGATGCATCCACCGCGTATCCCCATGGCGGCATCCATGTATTTCGCGTTTAAAGGTTTCGCTTTGTTCTGCTGTGCACATATCAGCTCGCTGTCGCGCGAGCTGAGCCTGTCCTTCAGCTCGTAGGACATGGTAGCTCACTTGCTGCTCGTATTTGCGCATGTCGGAGGTGACCTTTGGGGGGGCGCTCTTCTTGCTGTCTGGCGTTCGCAAGACCCCTCCCACGCAGATCCTGTTCGATGCTGGCTAGCCTCTGCTGGCACTCCTCTTTACTCGTGTGGATGGTGGCCTTCATGCGCCTGTTTTGCTCTGGGTACTCCAGCTTCTCCCACGTGATTCTTTCGTCTGCATCGCCCCGCCTCTGATGCAGATCTCGTTGTCGGCCGCTTTGGCCTCGATGCCGGCGACGTGGGCCTCGGCCTCCAGGTCAATTTTGTAAGCATGCCTTTCTCCTGCAAATATTTCTGCGTTTCGGCGATTGCTACCCACGTCGTTTAGCATGCGGTTGCTGTCGGCAAGCTCCGTCGGCATGTCTTGGAGATCTCTTCGTTGATGGGTCGTCTGTTGTCAGCAGCTGATGTCCCACAGCAGCTAGCGGCTTCCTCATAGCCTCGATCTCCTCATCCGCCCCGTTGAGCTTTTCCGCGCCGACGGTATGCATGGGCTCGCAATGCGATGCCACCTTCTTCCGCGGCCTGCTTTGAGCTTTGCAGATCCTGTCTAAGCTCGTCATGGTAATGATCGACATTTGTCGCCTCATGTTGTTGATCCGTTCCGTGTCAGCGCGCAGCTTCTCCCGCTGCTCGCAGGTGTTTTCTGGGATTGTTGATCTCGTCGCTGGCATCAGCTTGATGTTTCTCAATGTCGTTGGCCCGCCGCTGCTTGTCCTCTTTCAAGATCCTGAGCATGGTGCCGAAGTCCCACCCGTCCATGGCGCCACCTGCCCTTGTTTGCCTCCTTGGGGCCGGTGATGACGCAGGCGGTATTGTTGGCAGCATGCTACTTTGTGGTGGATCTGCTTTGTCATCTGCAGCTCCAGCGCCACTATGTCCATCATCTCTGGCGTTGCTGACGTCGCGCTGGGGGCCGGTGAGCTCCTCGATGGTGTTCTCACTCTCGTTCATGTAGATCCTTATCTATTGCTGGTGGATCTTTGAATGCTCGTAGTAGTCCTTCATGATTATCCTGGTGTCCTCGATATCCCTCGCCTGCTGGGCCAAGGGAATGCCGTTGAGGACCATTGCTTGGACGAACACGATTTGTGTAACGGCGTCGGTCGTAGGCAAGCCTGTTCTTGACAATAGCAGCTGCCGCTCGTCGCTCAAAGGCGCGTTGAGTTTTCTTACATTCACCTCGTGGTCGTTGGGGGGGCAGCTCCCAATCGTGCCTCCTGACGGCGCAAATTTTCCTCATGCGCATCACGTTCTTAATCGTGTTGGTGGTGTGCTCGTTGTGGATGTTGTTGTAGTGTTTGCAGTCGTCCTTCTTCTTGAGCGTCTTTTCTTGTTCGGGTTGGTCTTTGGCCTTTTCCTTGTTGTTGTTGCCTTGTCCCTTCTGGTTGTTGCTGGTGGGTTCCTGGAGTCCCTCCCCTTGCCGTCCTGGTAATTGCCCTTCCAGTTGAGGCTCTGGCTCCAGGACTTGTCCGGGGGGTTGTCGGCCCACAGGTCGATCAAGTTGTTGTTCTTCCAACGCTCGAATCCTGCACCGATGGCTGATGTAGTGGGCCTCGGTGTTGTGGCTCTGGATCGTGGGCGGCTCGATGCTGATTTCCACGGTTGTTGCGCCGATCCCGATCTGCTCGCGGCTGCTCTCCATGATGTTGCCATAGATGGAACTTGATGTAGATGTCGCGGTGGCTGCTGCGCGCTGAATTCGCCTGAAGTACCTGTCGTGCTTTGTGAAGCCGAAGTCATACTCGAGCATTAGCACGATTTCGGAGTAGCCGCCTGTGCCAGGCAGGGCCGCAGGAGCTCTGGTCCTTTGGTGTCGTAGCCGTAGATGCGGTAATTGTCGCAGCCGGTGTCTGTCGCGATGAGAGCAGGTGTCGTTTTCGCGGGCATGATTGGCCTGTGATGGCCGCGCTGGCCGCCGCCTCGGCCCCCTTTGCGGGATATGTGGGGGCGGGGTCGTAAGATTGCGATTTCCTCCTCCTCCTCCTCCTCCTCCTCCTCCTCCTCCTCCTCGTCCTCCTCCTCCTCCTCTCCGCCTCCTCCTCCTCCACTTTCTCCTGCTCGCCTTCATCATATTCTCTCCCCCCTTCCCTTCTCTTTCGTCCTCCTCCTACGACTACGAGTACGACGACAACGACCACGACAACTGCCACTGACACTGACGACGACCCCGACGACACATGACAATAACGACGACGGCGACAACGACGAAGACGACGACGACGGCGACGACGACGACGACGGTGACGACGATGGCGGCGGCGGCGGCGACGAAGGCGACAACGACGACGGACCCCCCCGAGCGCCATGACTCGTCGCCGCGCTTCGCGATGATGGCGAGGGCCGCGCGGAGCGCCTCCACGGCAGCCTCGCGCACCACCGGCCTGCCGTCCGAGTGGATGGCCGCCCAGATGTGGTCGAAGAACGTGGGGATCAGCGGGCTGAAGAGCACCGGCGGGTTGGCGGGGAAGGGATAATCAAGGGCTTGACGACTTCTGCCGTCCCTCGCCTTGCGCTGGAGCGGCCCAATGTGTTCCAACTCTCCTTGGAGATCTCTGGAGCACCGGCGGGCTGGCGGGGAGTCAGGACCAACATTGAATCGCGAAGCCGGGTCGAAATCAGAATCGCGTCGAATATGTTGGAGTCCGTGTCCAAATCGGCGATGGCCGCATCGGCCTGGAAGTCGGAGACTCTACGCCGGATCGGAATCGAATCGGGGCATTTTCTTTCGAGTCGGCCTCGTCCCCCTCGCCGTCGGGGAGGGGGACGAGGCCGAAAGTTGACTCTCTTGCGCAGCTGTGTTCTAGACTTCGGTGCTCTTTGAGGATCGTCGCCAGTCGTTCTGTCATTGCGCCCTCCCCCCTGGTCCCCCTGCCCCTGCCTCCTCAGGAGGGTCAAGACATTGACGCGTTCGGGCCCCAGGGGGGCGAAAACGTCCGCCTCCGCAGCCTCCCGAGGGCCCCGGGAGAGCGGATCCCCGGGCGGTGCGCCTCCGAACAATCACGGCCTCGGCGTGAGCAGGAGGAGGAGGAGGAGGAGGAGGAGGAGGAGGAGACGGAGGAGGAGGAGGTGTCGAGGCTCAAACCTCGAGGGTGCAGGCTTCTGAGCGTCCTTCGACCCTGCTGGGGCACCTGGGAGGCTCCTCCTTGCCACGGCTGTCCTCCCATGGAAACTCTTCCAGGACCGCACCCACTGACAGGCCGTGGGGGGCTGGCACTTCGTCGGTGGAGGGGGAAGAGGACCAGAGCAAGCCCAGGACGCGGCAACAACGCTGCAGAAACGCCCCGCCGTGCGAAGTCCCCTCCTCCAACAAGAGCCCCTGCAGGAAGGCGTGCTCTCTGCGGGCCCGTGGGCCCCCTTGACAGACGAGCGCCCCCCTCGGGTCCTTCGGGTTCCGGCGGGGCCCCCTTCTTGGAGAGGAGCTGGCATCTCTGCTTCTAGCTATAAGGACGCCGACCAGGGTCACTGGCATTGCAGACGTGTTGCGGCGGATTTCTGCGTGGATCTCTGCGTGGATGTTTGCCCGAAAAGGCGAGCAAGAAACGAAGTGAATTTGGCGCGGATGTTTGTTTAGTCTCCATTCCTGGCCAAAAAAAAAACGCGCGACATTCGCCTCGAAATCCGGAACGAAATTCTCCAGGACTCTCCGGGCCCACCCCGTCGTTCTCCGGATGAGATCCGGTCTGCGATGCTGGCACCATGACGAGGGAGGATCAGAGAGTCAGAAGAAGTTGTTTTTATGTTTTTGATTTTTTGTGTTTATTTTACATTTTTTGACTCAGAGAGTCAGAAGAAGTACCCGGCGAGAGCCCCGCTTGAAAAAAGGCGCCGCCCTCGACCAGGTCCGCTCCGAAGGTTCGCCCTCTGGCCATGCAGCCTGCGAGCGCCGCAGGCGGGGACACACCGACGCGACGAGGAGCCGCCCTCGACCCCAGGGGGAGCTGCTGCACACTTCCAGGAGGTGCGGTCGCGATGCGCAAAGGACGATCGAGCATGACACGCAACCCGAACGCGCCCCGCCACCCATCCGTGAGACAGACGGCGGCTTGCGGGGCGAACGTGTGCAACGCAAGGGCGAGAACCCGACTTTGAAAAGGAGAGGCCCTCCACCAGCGTAACTACTTGAAGCGTATAACTAAGGGGCCACGTGCGAACCCTACCCTTGCCCCCACCCTCCCCCTCGGAAGTCGTGGGGGGCAGGGGTGGGTCTCGCACGTGGCCCCCTAATCAAACAAAATGCGCGCGGCGCTCGGGCGAGCACCCGATCTTGAAAAAAGGGTCCGACCTCCGTCCGTGCAGCCCTGCAGAGCATCGCCGAAAACAGCAAGTGTGCGCGGCGCCCAGGGCGAGAGAGCCACACCGCGAGAACCCCCTGCATCCGTACAGCACCTGCTGCGTGCAGATCTGAAGCGGGAAAACCATGCTGGAAAAAGGAGCCGTCGTCCATCCGCGTGACGGCCTCTAAAATGTGATAAAAAAAAGCCAAAGCGCGCGGCGCTAAAACTAGAGCCAGATTGACCCCCTCCCCCCATCCGCGCAAGTACTTGGAGCGCTTACGGCATATATGCGCGCGGCGCCAGGGCGAGATCCCGATTCTGAACGTGATCCCCCGCCATCCGCGCAACCCCGAAGGAAACTTTTGAGACGAATGTGCGCGGCGCCAAACCGAGAGCCACGTCTTGAGAAGGACCCCCGCGCATCCGTACAACACTGCTGTGAACGTTGAAGAGAATGTGCGCGGCGCCATGGCGAGAGCCACATCTTGCATCCCCCCTCCGCCCGTGCAACTGTTGGAAATGCAGCCTTCGGGGCCGTCAGCGGGGAGGAAGCTTTGGGCGAAACGCCCGACCAGCGGAGGAGCTGCCCATCAGGAAAAGGGATGGAGGAGAGGGGAGGATGCGGGGGAGCGGGGCGGAGGACCACGGAGAAGGGAGGAGGGACCAGGGAGGAGGGAGGAGGAAGAGGAGGAGACGGAGGCGGAGGAGGAGGAGGAAAAGGGCCGAAGAGCACCGGCGAGTTGACGGCGAGCTCCTTCAGGACCAGCACCGCCGCGTAGCGCTTTGCTTCCCCACGCGGGTCGCCCTGCAGCCAGTCCATGGACCTCTTCAGCTCGAACTCCACGAAGTCAGCGGTGACGGTTCCCCCGGCTCTGGCCAGATGGCCCAGCGCACGAGAGGCGTACGTGAGGGTCGGCGTCTCCACCACGGGCTGCTGGAACACCATCCGGAGGTAGTTCGCGAAGCGAATGATCTTCGTCTCGTTGTCCTCGCACGGCACCTCGATGAGTTCGTCGATCGCCATTATGCCACCGATCCTCTCGTGCGTCTCGGCACTGCTGACGAGATCGTAGATGCGCCGAGTGGTCTCCGTCATGAAATCCGAGAAGGTGCCTCTGGACATCTCCCGCGCCTCGGCCTCCAGGTAGATCCTCAGATTCTTGGCGGCCTTGGAGCGCACGCCCTCGCCGCGGTCGCTGAGGTCGAGGAGGTAGCGGCTGAGAGTGTCATGGCTGTTGCGGCTCATGGCGCGCACTCAGCCCCTCCTCGCCGCGGCCATGGCCCCCCGTGCGCCTCAGAGAGGCAGGCGCCGCCCCGCGCCTCGCAGGAGAGCCCTCCGCCTCCTCTCGGGGAGGCGGGCTTCCGCAAACCTCTTGGGGGGGTGGGGGGGCGCCTTTCCCAGAACCAGCTGGAAACTCGGAGCCTTTCCCAGAACCAGCTGGAAACTCGGGTCCTCCTCCTCCTCCTCCTCCTCCTCCTCCTCTCCTCCTCCTCCGCCTCCTCCTTCCCCCTCCCCTCCTCCTCCTCGTCTCCTCCTCCTCCTCCTCCAGTCCCTCCCCCTCCTCCCTCCCCTCCCCTCTCCCTCCCTCCTCTCCTCCTCCTCCTCCTCATCCTCCTCCCCTCTCTTCCTCCTCCTGATCATCTCAGCATTCATCCTCCTCCTCATCATCAGTGTCAGCATCATCATCATCGTCATCATCATCATCATCATCATCATCATCATCCATCATCATCATCTCATCATCATTCATCATCACCCTCATCATCCTCTCATCCCTCATACTCCTCATCATTCCTCCTCCTCATCATCATCCAGCATCATCATCTCATCAGACAGCAGCATCACCAGCACCACCACCACCACATCCTCATCATCATCATCATCAGCATCAGCATCATCATCATCATCATCAGCAGCACAGCATCTTCTCCTCCTCATCTCCTCCTCGTTCCTCGTCCCTTCGTCCTCTCTCGTCCTCGTCCGTCCTCCTCCTCCTCCTCCTTCTCCTCCTCCTCCTCCTCCTCCTCCTCCTCCCCTCCTCCTCCCTCCTCCTCCTCTTCACCTCCTTCCCCCTCCTCCTCCCCCTTTTCCCTCTCTCCCCCCCCTCCTCCTCCTCCTCCTCCTCCTCCTCCTCCTCCTCCTCCTTCTCCTCCTCTTCCTCCTCCTCCTCATCCTCAGCCTCGTCACCATCATCATCATCATCATCATCGTCATCATCATCATCATCATCATCATCATCATCATCATCATCATCAGCAGCAGCAGCAGCATCAGCATCATCATCATCACCCTCATCATAATCATCATCATCATCATCATCATCATCAGCATCATTATTATCATCAGCATCATCATCATCATCATCATCATCATCATCATCATCATCATCATCATCATCATCATCATCATCATCATCATCATCATCATCATCGTCATCGGCATCAGCATCATCACCACCACCAGCATCGTCAGTATCCTCCTCATCGTCATCAGCAGCAGCAGCATCAGCAGCCTCAGCGTCACCACCACCACCAGCATCATCAGCATCATCAGCAGCATCAGTATCATCATCATCAGCAGCATCAGCATCATCAGCATCATCATCATCAGCAGCATCATCATCATCAGCAGCAGCAGCATCATCATCATCATCATCATCATCATCATCATCATCATCATCATCATCATCATCATCATCATCATCATCATCATCATC